TGCGTTGAGTAACCAGACTCTTTCATCGAATTAAACTCCATAAAACATTGACGCAACTTGATGAGGAGAGAGCTGCATTGTAGCCACATATCTCTGGGCATTGCCGTTGTTGGCGGGTGCTACAAAGATTATGGGCTGTTGAAGCTCGATCACTTGCACATCGTCGGGCTGACCGCAAAGGCGTGGACTGAGGATGCACAGCAAGGAAGCTTGATATGGAGCTAGGCTAGGATAAGCCGGAGTTGAGGTCGGCTTTGGCTGCATGAACTGCTCCCTCTCTTTCATCTCCGGTTGCCTTGAGGCGGGATTGATTTTAATAGGGAATACATCGGCTGTAGCCGCTTCTTGAGCAAAGTCCTCAGATTCTTTCATAGTCGGATTCATCGTAGTCTCATCGTAGCTTTCTGCCTCTCTCACGCTCTGTGTTGGCTTTGTTATTGGAGCCTTAGTTGTTGTTGTTGTGGTGTGATGATGCGTGGGCTTTAAGAAGTGCGTCGGCTTCGCAAACACTGGCATGGCATAGCTCCATGAGTCCGGTTCCTTATGATCCTCATGACTGTAATCATCAGATGATTCCCATTTTTTTTTGTACGACCAATGATTCGATGGATCCCTGAACACTTTTACCAGACGTGCATAGCTATCGCTCGCATCCCACACAGGCACTTTGACGGCATATTCGACCGTCTTGATCGATATAGCCCAGGTCGAGCCTGCAGCCAGCACTAACAGGTAAACGGAGTCGAGTAGCATTGTGGTTGATCCTTCGACTAACTGCTTCGCTTCAACTTTGAAGTGGGACTGACTTGATGTGTGCACCCAGCAAATGCTTTTATAGAGTAATAATCTAATGTCATTTAATAAATCAAACTTGCCAGCTTAATTATCTCAATTCGTCTATCAGAAATATGCTTTCTATTCTAATTAGCTGTAGTTAAGCTTGACCTGAACTAATTTGCCATCGGCTGTGATTTGTGATTTGGGTGCTAATATCCATTTGTATCAGTTATCAGTGGAAATATTGTCTGGTTCTGGTTCTAAGATAAGTGAGGAATGTTCATCATCATATTTAACAGCAACCGCATCATCATCATCTTGATCATCATCATTATCATTCTGCTCATTATGACAGGTTAATACACGAGGCAGAGCTGTTGAGGTTGTAATAGAACCAGTAGTGGGAACAGCTTTTGAAGTGCTAAGTGGGAACAGAGTTGAAGTGTTAAGAGCTGTTAAGAAGACGATCTGTCCAACTGGGAAGAGGTGTTGAAGTGGGGAAAAGAAGTGAAGTGGAAACAGTCATCGATGTTGGAACTGTAGAGAGGGCTTAGCTGTCGGAGGGTTGCCATGGGCAGAGCTGTAGCCGATGTTTTAGGTATTAAATTTATTTACATATTAGTTAATTTCATTTTTATTTTATGTTTTATGTTTCATTTAAACCAATGATTTCTTAATTTAATTTTTACTTTTCTTAATTTACCACAAATACTTATAAAAATAATTTAGATCGCTTTCAATTGTTTTTCAATTTTGATCTTCTTGGTATCATCGCATTTCTTGCCTTAGGCTGTGCTGATATCTTATAGAATTATATATTCTTTGACTTTGATATCTGCGTGTAGAATTCAAGATGAGTCTGAAAGGCTTTCTCGTTGTGGTCGCAGGAGATATGATTATCAGGGGATCGCCATTTCCATCAGCTAGTTCCATAAAGTGCGCCGCTTCAGGCTCATCGCAGAGCTTGGGATGATAACGACAAAGAGAAGACATCGACTGTGGAGGCGACTTCACAAACAACTGTTGCTCTGGCTGGAGATCTTTAGATTTGTCGTTTGATATAATATATTTCCTAAAAGGCCCCAATGCACCAGGTGGGCCAGGTGGTCCAGGTGGACCAGGTGGACCAGGGGGCCCAGGAATAGGACTCGCTGTTGTTGCTGGCTCTGTAGGTGGCTCCGTTGTTGGTCTCGGAGTTGTTGTTGTTGAGGTTGTTGTAGGTCTTGAGGTAGAAGTAGTTGTTGTGGTAGTCGTACGTCGAGGTCTGCGCGTGGGCCTTGGTCTAGGCGGTGGCCGGGGCAAAGGCACGTACTCAATATACGGCGGATTGTGGAAGTAATAGTTCTCCCAATAGTCATTATAGTAATTATCAATGGCAGTTGCATCAATCACTTCTGGTCGGCGTGGCTGCTTCTTGTGCGGCGTGCTAAATGCGTTTGTTATACGCGAATACAAATCGTTGATATCCCAAGCATTCACATTCAACCTGGGCTGAGTTTTCGCATTTGAATGACTCCACGCAGGCACCGCCAGAACAAGCCAGAGACACACGAGACTTATGAACATTTTCAAAGGATTTTGCGAATCGTTGAAATTACTTTTGGTGACAGAATTTGACTAAGAGCTGCTCAAGCCAAAGTGATTCTTATATAAACGAAACGCGTGCCAAAATATGACAGCTTGCATATGAATGATTGATTGTGGCCTGAGGCATCAATCAAGCAAACTTTATTAGAGTCAACAATGCGCTTAAGACAATCAGAAACGATTAGCACTTGTTTAAGCCAGCGATCATCGCTGTGCAGAGGCGAAGCTGTTGAAGCTTGCCATTTACAAATTGGGACAGATCTTCGTATACTATGTGGGGTCGTACAAAGTTCATTTTATATCTTCAATGGGTCAGTACGTAGTTAACACTGTTCAACAAATTCAAGCTGGATTCTGTGACAAGAGAATTATAAAATGATCCTTGAACCAAGTGGCCAATAACTTATGTAGTGTCTGCGAGAGGTTTTTAATGTTAAAGACTAGATATGAGACTTGGAGCTGCAGCCTTAACTTAGCAACATATAACTTCACTTTTGTAGTCACATTTCTGTTGCACACTGTTGATAAATGAAAGAAAGATGAATGAACGAATGGCTCTGTCCACAGACATCATACCTGATGACGAATCTTAATGACAGCTAAGCAGTCAATACAAATAGCTTTTTCTTATAAACTGAAATATGATAAACTTTGAAGAGTTTTAGCTAATGTTTAATAAATCAAGTTTGTCGTCTTTATTACAATTATTATTTCGTCAATCAGAAATATTCGTGTGACTATCTGTTCCAATTAGCTGCAGTCAAGCTTGGCTTTTTTACCATCGGCTGCGACTTGTAGTAGGTGTAACCGGGGCGTGCTGCTGCGACTCGACGTCTCAACTGCATCTGATTGGGTGCTATCAATATCAGAGGCTCTCCATTTTTGTCAGTCAGTCGGACGTATTGCCTGTCCGGTTCAAAGATGAGTAACGCATGTTCATCATCATCATGGACTGCAGCCGCATCATCGTCATGATCATTGCGCTTATTATAATAGGTGAGCACACGAGGCAGAGCTGTTGAAGTTGTGATGGGACCAGCAGTGGGAAGAGCTATCGAAGTGGGAATAGCTGTTGATGTGGGAATAGCTGTCGAAGTGGGAATAGCTGTAGATGGGGGAATAGCTGTAGATGGGGGAATAGCTGTCGAAGTGGGAATAGCTGTAGATGTGGGAATAGTTGTCGAAGTGGGAATAGCTGTCGAAGTGGGAATAGCTGTCGAAGTGGGAATAGCTGTCGAAGTGGGAATAGCTGTAGAAGTGGGAATAGCTGTAGATGTGGGAATAGCTGTCGAAGTGGGAATAGCTGTCGAAGTGGGAATAGCTGTCGAAGTGGGAATAGCTGTCGAAGTGGGAATAGCTGTCGAAGTGGGAATAGCTGTCGAAGTGGGAATAGCTGTCGAAGTGGGAATAGCTGTCGAAGTGGGAATAGCTGTAGATGTGGGAATAGCTGTCGAAGTGGGAATAGCTGTCGAAGTGGGAATAGCTGTCGAAGTGGGAATAGCTGTCGAAGTGGGAATAGCTGTAGATGGGAGAGTAGCTGTCGAAGTGGGAATAGCTGTCGAAGTGGGAATAGCTGTAGATGTGGGAATAGCTGTCGAAGTGGGAATAGCTGTCGAAGTGGGAATAGCTGTAGATGGGGGAATAGCTGTAGATGTGGTTGGCAATACAGCCGTCGTAGTTGTAGTCGTTCCAGTGGAAGTGGGAATAGCTGTCGAAGTTGTAGGCGTTCCAGTGGAAGTGGGAATAGCTGTCGACGTTGTAGGCGTTGCAGTGGAAGTGGGAATAGCTGTCGAAGTTGTGGGCGTTCCAGTGGAAGTGGGAATAGCTGTCGAAGTTCTAGGCGTTCCAGTGGAAGTGGGAATAGCTGTCGAAGTTGTAGGCGTTCCAGTGGAAGTGGGAATAGCAGTCGATGTTGTAGGCGTTCCAGTGGAAGTGGGAATAGCTGTCGAAGTTGTGGGCGTTCCAGGGGAAGTGGGAACAGTTGTCGAAGTTGTGGGCGTTCCAGGGGAAGTGGGAACAGTTGTCGAAGTTGTGGGCGTTCCAGGGGAAGTGGGAACAGTTGTCGAAGTTGTAGGTGTGTTTGCAGCCAAACTCTGATAATATCTATAAACTGCCAAATTGTAAAGATAGTTATTGTTGCTCCAACTGTTCACGGCATTGTAGGTTTGGTATGCATTGTAATAGTTTTGCAGTATCTGCTGCTGTTCTTGTGCCGCTAGCTGTTCGGCCTCCTGGTAGGCCTCCTGTTCGGCTTCCTGATCTGCCTGCAGCTGCTGATCACTCGTTACGCCACCGAAGCCGCCACCGCTCACTAACTGACGAAAGATATCTCGAATGTTATACACTGGATACTGTGCCCAAATAGGGCCAGCCAGAAGAAACAATAGGCAAACGCGACCAATTAACATATTTAAATGTTAAGAATAAACTTTTGCTTCATCGGGTGCTCTCACGTCTGCTGGACAACACCCTGCCCAGAACTGAATGGTTTCAAGAGCTGCTCGAGTGTTTATATGTAATGTCTTAGACTAGTTAGCGTCTTTGTGTGTGGAGAGCTAAATTTATTATCTTCTTAGACTACAATAAAATAACAATAGTTTAGGTTCTTATAAATCAACTTAAGACAAGCAGATTAGCTAGATAGCTTGCAGAGGTCTTTTATTGGCATACTGCGCATCGTTTGACTGCTGATCATTATCCAATTCGTATTTGATGCGTGAACCGTTCTTAAAGTCTATATAATCGTAGTCGGGGTCATTGTCGTTGCTGGTCTCAGCTGCAGTGCTCGGCTTTCGCGCTTCCTTTTCAAGCATTCCTTTTGGCGCCGCTGTCGTTGTCCGTTGCACCTGCTGCAGCACGTCGGCGAGCACGGCTGGCGCTATGGGAGCTCCGCCTTCCATCGACTGCAGGCCCTGGAGTAAGCCTTGCACAAATTGTTGCCGTATTTGAACGTCGGCGTCGATCGGCGCATCACTCTGCACTATGGGCTGACTCGTTATCGTTGGCTCATCTTGTGTGCGTCGAATGGGATTAAGGCCAGCAGCTTGTGGGTAACCAACAGCTTGTGGGTAGCCAACAGCTTGTGGATAGCCAAGCAGAAATAGCAAAGGCACAGCTGTGCGCGATTCGCTCTTCACCTGGCCATTCGCCTGTACAGGCTGGCTTTGGATCTGTGCCGCCCAAACACAGAGCAGTGCAATAAAATCTAGAGCTGTTTGTCGTTTCATAGCGCTGCGAGTTCGCTGACCAACTGAAATGCCGCTAACAAAGCTTTTGCATATTTAGCCAACTCTCGAGCCAAATGCCTAAATGCTAAATAGTGAAATTCACCAAAAACTGAGAAAGTTCACCAAACAAACAAAAATAAAATAAAATAAAATATATAACGAATGTCTTCAGTCAATTTATTTAACACACCAACTAATTAGTATATGATCGCCGCTGTTTGAGCTTCTTCTTGGCTGGCTTCGATTTGGCTTTGATTTTGTTGTGGGTTTTCTTCCGCTTGACTTTTGAGTCGGCATCTGCTTGACGCCATAGCTCATCGCCGTCGCCATAATCGTCATAATCGTCTACATCGTCGCCACTAGCATATTCCGTAACCAGATCAGAGTCACTCTCCAACTCATCTTCGTATTCCAGGCCCTCATCGTAGATCAACGCTGATTGTGCATTAAACAGTTGCTGCTGTTGCTGCTGTTGCAGCCATTGTCGATAGGGCTCCAAGCCGGCGTATAGCTGGCCATGGCCAGCATTAGTCGTAACTAGATTCGCATAATTATAGCCATAGCCTGGCTGCTGGTACACCTGTAGGCCAGGTATGCTATTATAATGGCTTGAGCCATAGATTTGTGCATAGTCCGGAAAGTTATAGCCATAGCCCCCGCCAAATCCAATTCCTGCTGCTACGCCTCCTCCTCCGCCTCCATAGTTATAGCCTCCTATGCTACTGAACACCTGTTGTGCATTTGCCTGATTAGGTATTTGCACATTGAGAACCTGGCCGCTGAGCTGCCTGCCACTAGTTGGATCATAGATGTCGTTCGAGGCAAACGGCAGCTGTGGCCCTTGCGTCACTGCTTCTTCTTCCGCTTTCAGATTGTCTTCCTCTGGCTTGGCTTTGGTGGAATTGAAGAGTCTGTTGTAGAGTCGACTGAAGTTGATCAGCGGCACCTCGTTGTAGATGCGTGTGAAATTGATCGTTGGCAATTCGAGCACCACGCGATTCGCTTGTCGCAGCTCCTGCGATGCAGCGATCGATTTGCTCTCCGCTGCCGCAGCAAGGACCAAAAGCAGCAGCAACAGCAACAGCTTTGGCTGCTGGCAAATTGACATCTTGTTGGGTGTCTTGCTCTTGACTGTCTGACCCGTGGCCAAGAGTTCCACCTGCCTTTTATGCCTCCATTTTGACCCATATTTTTCATCTCGTATTTAAATTGAGTTTCTATTTGCATAAATAATTGACATATAGCTAATTAGATTTTGGTTTTCTGATTTAATTTCGCATTCGCGTAGGCGGCTCCTTTCTCAAAAAGAAACAAAAGTCACAGCTCTCTTTGCCAATTGATATAATGTGCATAATTAGTGGGAGAATATCCTTTGGCCTTACGAACTAAACGAGATCAACATTTATTTCGTAAGTTTTAAAAAGGAAAAACTAATGAAAATATACAATTAATTAACATAAAAAACAATACAACATTTTTTTATACAAAAAAATCTTTTATTTTTTTAGGCAAAAATATATAAATTTTAAAACGTTTTTTTTTTATGGCGAATAAAATAAGATTTCAATTTATTCTTTTTATAATTTAAATTTTTAACATTTTTATTAATTTAATGATTTAGTTAATATTAATTTACGTCAATCAAAATATTTCAAAATATTATTTTTAAAGGTTAAAACCTACATAACATTTCTAAATTAAAATATAAAAAAAAATTTTATTTTTATTTTTAAAAATAAACCCAAATAACTTTAAAAAATATATATATATAAAATTAATTGATATAATAAGATATATTAAAAAAAAATAATAAAATAAAAATCATTAAATTGACATAAATTAAAATGAGTTGAATCAAAATTAAAATTAATCAAATTTTTCTAAAAAATTGTTCGTTTTTAAAAGGGATATATAAATACAATTTTACATAAAAACATTAATAGAATAAATAAGTCTTAGTAAAATTGTTACAGCGTTAGGCGCCTTCTAAGAGCTTAAACTTTATTAAAACTTTTTATAACTTTTTATAACTGTTTTCATGAGTTTGCTCTTTCTTACTAGATCTGATCTATATAGCAATTCGTTATCATAGAATAGAAAAACTTAGACGCTTTAAATTTCATATTTATATAATTTTTATTTATTTCAGTTTTGTCTTTGTCAATTTCTTAGTCGTTGGCTTTAGGCCACCTCCTCCATTATTTCCGACTGTTGCTGAAGGTCGGCTTCAGGTTCGACGGTCAGGAAAACCAGCTGCGTTTCCTTCTTGTTCTTCCTGGACTTCTTCTTTGATTTCTGAGCGCGACGCACTAGATATTGAGTTTTCTTGGGCTTCTGAACGGTGTCAAGTTCCTCCAATTGCAGCTGCTGCTGTTGGTCCAGATTGATTGCAAAGAGCTGACCATCCGCGGATTGGCCATAGAATTTTTGTGCATCTCTCTGCTGCGGATAAATAAGCTGACTGGATTGTGCCTGGCCAGCTAAGGCTTGAGCCAACAGCTGTTTGGACAGGTCTGCTAAGCCATTCAATTGCTGCTGATCAGATTGTCGCTTCCCGATTACGGGCACATCGACGCCGGATGAAGCTGCAGGCAAAACGGGTGCATAAGTAATGTTGATGAACGGTAAGCCACCATAACCACCAAAGCCGCCACCCCAACCTGGACTTGGATACGGGCGAGGATACGGTGGCCTTATGATGGGCCTAATAATCGTTGGTGGTTGCGGTTGCGGATTGGGCACTGGGTACGGGAACGGCGCCGGATATGGCGAGTGGTATGGAGGATGCTGTGGATACGGCGGTGTATGTGGTGGCTGTATTATAATTGGCCTATTATCATGATGTCCATGATCTCGATCCGAATCGCGTATGATTGAAAATACGCGCCCCTCGTTCGCCGGCTCCTCGTCCACATCTTCGGCAGAAATGGGCAGAACAGCCCGAGCCCGAGCCCAAGCCCGAGCCTTAGTTTTCGCAGCTTGGGTTTGCGCCAATGCGCAAAGCACAAGCAATACGCAACAATATTTTAACATATTCAGCCGATATCTGTGTGGCCTATTGATAGGATAGAACTGATCCACTAATCACGGCAGGGTGTCTTTATATACAGTTCATGTTCTTGAGGCGTGTCGGCCCACATGAGTTCGGAGTTCATTAATGTTATACCGATTAGCTATGTTAATCAGTGCGGCGCATAAATAGTTCCCCTGACTGTTGTCTCTGCGAGATTAATTTTTATTAATATATATGCCAAGAGAATTTGTGCATAATTTTATAGTTAAGGCATATGTTTTTCTCTTTTCCATGTGAAAGTTGATATTCGACTAAAAATATTTTAATTCTTTATTTGGAATTTAAATAAGCTCTGGCTATTCGCGTCATCAAAGTGTGAATGAAAGTTTGAATCATTTTACTAATTAGCTGAGTCAAATCGTTTAAGCCTAGATCAGTGACTTACTTTTCAGATGCTGCTACAGATATGTGACCTTATTTGGACTGAATATGAAGCAGAATTCATTAATCATTGATTCAACTAATGAGTACCGATGAACTAGAACTATCAACTTAGTATTTATTCATGCAAGCTTATTTGAAACTCTGCTCAACTGATCGTGCTGTTCACAGCTGCAGAAAATAAATAACAAATACTTAAAGATTATTATTAATAATAATAGCACGACTTTTTATTATCTGTTATAGTGTTATCAATAAATATTATTTGTATTATATATTTATTAATAAAATATTATTATTATTATTATTATAAAATATTAAAATTATTATTAATCTTATTATTATTATTATTATTAATATTATTATTATTATTAATTTTATTATTATTATTAATATTATTATTATTATTATTATTAATATTATTATGATTATTATTATTTTTTTTTTTTATTATTATTAATATTATTTTGATTATTATTATTATTATTATTATTTTTAATATTGATACTACTATTAGTATTAGTATTTGTATTACTTTCAGTATTAGTAATAATACAACAAATCAGTCTGATTTCGTGTCTAAAGAAATCCCCTTGGTCTGGCTGTAAACATTTTCTAGCATTAAAAACTATTTCACTTTTAATACAAATTATTAAATTATGAAGCGTAAATAGTCAAAAAAGGGGCTTCAAACCATTCATTAATTTTCTATCGATGCAGATTTGCATATGGAAATAAATATTCATGATTTGTTCATATTTGATCCGATATGCTTTGATTTTTGTCAATTCGGAATTTTGTTTTGCTCTGTGTTCTTTAAGCTGACTATATTAGCTCAACTAATTTACATTAGAATAGTTCGTTTGATTACGAAGAGGGCTCTCTTCTTGTCAAATGTGAAGCATATTTCATTCTTGTCCACTTTGCTGGCGAAATTGGGTTAAGTGGGTCCACATGCTGAATGCATTTGGCCACAATATTTTTCCATAATTAATAAGCATTTCTTTTGTCTATAAAAACATATTTGCGAATGGGTAAGCTAGCTATTTAGAGAGAGTCACTGACGAAATGAACTCCAAGGCGGCCTTGTGGCTAATATTGGTTTTGTGCTCGGGCTTGGCTGTTTCAGCCCAGCCCATTGGAGAGGACTACAATTACGATTATACATCAGACTATGACTATGGCGATGTGGATCCAGCTGACGCTGTAGAGGATCCTGCTGCAGCTGCGTTCGACTTGACACGATTCGCTTATCCGTTTTATTGCAATACAACCTATCTGAATCATACCTACTTTTATCCATGCCAATTACCAACGCCGTATCCAACAACGCCTGTTTGTCCCGGACCGCCTCCGCCACTGCAACCGCCTCCTGTACATCCTCGTCCTGGTCCTTATCCGGGCATACCACCTCTAATTTATGTAGTGCAGCCAACAAAGAGACCCGACACATCGAGAATTTGCACGAAAGTGGCCGGCGTAGGCCAAGTTTGTATTCCAGGTATTCCCGTTTATATTGATGATAAATAAAGAAGAGAGCGACTAA